AAATAAAAAATAAGAAAATAGTGCTAAACAACACATATGTTTTGGACAAAGATATGATTAATTATATGTTTAGTGCATTATTTTTGCAATCTTTAAACTAAAAACCCTGATAAGTCATGATATATCTTTTGTATTTGAAGTTCTAGGACAACTTATGAAAAAAAGATTTCAGCATATACATTAACAAAGAAAGAAAAGTCAACCTTCACATTTCAATTTAATTTTGTTTTAATTCCATGCAGATACTTATGACTTTTCAGTGTTATTTCTTCCAGGAGATATTCAAGTCTCTTGTAACAATAAGGGACAGTGGAATGGAAAAGAATAATTTGGAAAAATTTATGTAAAAGTTTGGTAGTTTTCATGAGGCCTGACAAGGGAAAATTTGGGGTTGCTTTAAATGTTCAAAATTATGTTTATTTCATAGAAATGTTGAATTATGAAAATATATCCTTAATATATAGCTTACAAAGAAAGAGAAATTAAATGAGCAAACATTAACTTAAACATTTAATTCTCATTTTGTGTTCATGCATATAAATATACCCTACAATTTTCCTTTCATATCTCAAATGCTTGCATAGGAAGATATCACAAACTAGTTGAAAGCAGATGTTTCAATTAACGCTTCTAAGTAAGGCGTAAATTGTAAGAGAGTGATTATAGACAGTGACTCATTCATTCAGCTCTGCATTACATATTTCACACAAAATATACTTTTTTGGAGGTGTTAAAATGCTTAGAGTTTCATGGGTAAAAAATAAACTAAATATAAACCAACCCTTTGGGATTACTCATGTTGGTGGATATATTAAAAAAAAAAAAACACAGGATAGTACATTGACACATGGAAGTTTCAGGAGGGAAATTCAAAATGCATATGATGTCATGATCAGGTTCTTGCTAAGAAATTGCCTTTGGAGAGACTAGAGAATGGCAGGAAGTTGTTCTGTTTTTTTTAATAATAAAAGTTATAATCAGATGTACTCACTCAGATTAATAAAATTGACACTGATATAATCAATATCTCAAGTGCTTCTATCCTAGGACATCCAGTGCTTGAATGTGTCTGTACATCTGTTGTGATTTTTAAAAATGAACTTTCCAAGGTGCTCAACAGCAAAATTCCCTTTTCTCAGTATGGAAGATTGTAAACTACCCCAATCTTTGAATATGGATGTGTTATTTTATACCAATATATCTTTAAAGTAGTCTCTTGCAAAACAAGAGTTAAAACAGTGTTAATCTAGAAGAAGCTTGCTTGGAAGATGGTGAAGGAATGAAATTGCTACTGCTCTTACGACCTTGTTTCCAAATTCATTTCTTGTATTGACATAAGATTAGAGTAAAAGACTCATATAGTGGCCAGAGATGAAAAGCTATAGGCATACCTGTGATAGCCATATATGCAACATGTTTAACATGTATGTATATATGTATGTAAATATGCATGTATGTATTTGCCTAGTGTTTTCTGGGTGATTTATTCCTGGAGTGTTGGGAATTTAGTTTAAAAATTAGAACACTTTATGTGGGCTCCAGTTATCTGAGTTGAGTTAGACATTCATTGAAACACAGTCAAAAATAGCGCAGCAGTGAGATAGCTCAGCAGGCTAAGCATCTGCTTAGGCAAGTGCAGGGACCTGAGTTCCATCCCCGGCACCACATGCCGCACAGGGCCCACCCCTGGGTGCACTGAGCCAATCACCAAGACCAAGCGTTGGAGTGCATGCCTATAATCCCAGTGATGGAGAGGCTGAAAACAGGAGGATCACTAAGAGTCTGAGCTTCATAGTAAGACCCTATATCAAATACATAAAAAATAAAAAATAAAAATTTGAAATGAGCATTGCTTGCTCTTAGACTTATTGTTGTTTGCTTGCTTTTCTGAGCTAAAACATTAAAACTCAGACCTTTTTCTTTGTACGTAAGGCAGAGAGTGTGTGACTGTCCCCACGTATTGCTTTCTTGTGAAATAACTTGACAGTGCTCATTTCTTGACTTTTCTGTAGACATAGCATCACACTTTAACTGTCTTTGCCTTATAAATGTTTCCTGCTTTCATACTTGTTAAAAAGTTCGCTGCCTAGTTTCTCTTATATAGGAGGCCCAAAATGTAAACAAAAAGCAAACTAAAAGACAGATAATAGTAAGTAGGGAGATAGAGGTTTCTCAAAGGGAATGGAGATCAAGAGATGAAGGATGGGAGAAGGAAAGGATAAGAGGTGAAAGAATGAATGATGGTGTGTTCTGTACATGTATCACCTAACAAAGAGTGTGAATATTATGTACAGAAAACATGTATGAAAGGAAGCCAGGGGATCAGGAATGAATGAAAGATGAGCGAGAGAAGGAAAAGGAGATGAAAAGAGGAATTAAAATATATAGTACACATGTGCCAACTACCCACGACAAATATAAACTATGTTCTACAAACATCTACTAATAAAAAATCAGCAAAAGAAAGAAAGATACTCATACACAGTGGTCATTTTTTTAAACATAGGTTGGAGAACACTTTTTTTTTCAAAACTTTATTGATAAACAGATAGCAATGAGACAGTTTCAAATCAAATCGGAAGTACAGATTCAACAAATAACACACTGCATATATTCTTCTTAGTGGTTAATTGCTGTACAAGATG